AATAATTATTAGAAAAATAAAAATAGCTATTCTATAACTTTAAGTATTAGAAACTTAAATTTAAAGCTAATTTTAAAAAATAGAAGTATAAGTTTAAAGCTTTAAAATAGTTAATAATTATAGAAATAATTAGGAAAGAGACTAAGAAGCGCTATATAAAGTAGTTCTTAATAAAGTACTTTAATGTTTTTAAGCTTTTTACTATAATTTCAACCTTATTCCTTTCTTATAAATAACCTATAGTTTTATAAGAAAAAAAATAACTTTATATAAAGAATAAAATATTATTAAATAATATTAAAAGAAATAAAAATAGGCTTATAGTTTTAAAAGCTAGGAAGCTAGGTTTAAAGTAATAGTCTTATATTTAATAAACTTAATAATAGCTAGAGGATATTATAATCTCCTTTTTTATTTATAACTTTAAATATATTATATAATCCTTATATTATAAAATATAAATTATAATATAGGTTAGTAGCTTAATAACTTTATTTATATTAGCAACTTAGTTTAAATTATAGGCTTAGCTGCTATTAACCTTAATATTAATAGTTATTCATTATAAAGTTAAAACTCTAAAAAGTTTTTTTTATAAAAGCTTTACTTTAAATATAAAGTCTTCCTAACTAACTTATAGAAGCTAATAGTTTTTCTAGACTATATAATTGTTTTTTAGCTTTTTAGGAATTATATCTACTACTAATTACTCCTACTTTTATTCTTTGCTAGTTTTAGTTTATAAATTCTACTTATTTATCTCCTTATTACTAAGCTTTTAAAGCTTATAAAAGATACTTTAAAGATCTTTACTATATATATTATATAAAGTCTACCTTTAATAATGTTCTTTAATATTTATTATAGTTATAAGCTAGGAGGCTTCTTAGCTAATTTAATCTTTAACTTTATTAAGTATAATTAAATAGCTATTAATTAGTATTTTTTTTCTTTAATTAATATTTAAGCTTCTTTATTATATTAATAAAAAAGCTAATTCTAAAGATATTTATAAAGAATATATTTGACTTTTATTTCTGCTATTAATAGATAAAATTTAAATATTAAGCCTAAATTATAAAAGAAATAGTATTTTTTAAACTAAGCTATATCTTTACTTTTATATATTTTATTTCTTTAAAGCTTATATAGAAAAAAGTATTTATATTTATTATTATTAAAGATTTTAATAAAGTTTAAGTTTATTTAATTCTTTTATTTTATATTTTTAGCTAATTAAGTATTATTACTATTTTTTAGAAGGGTTTATAATTATATTAAAATATTTAAACCGCTTCCTTTAGTTTTTTATTCTAAGTTATTTTATAGCTTAGCGCCTACTATTTAATATAAGCTAGCTTAGGATAATTGCTTATTTATATTAATATTTATAAAATTGTTTATAATTTAGAAGAAGCTTTTTTTAATACTAGTATTATTTTTTTATATTACTTTATTTATATATTAGTAAAGTAAATTAAAATCTTTTAGTATATTATAATTAATAATATTTATAATATCTAGATTATTAGCCTTTAGCCTATACTTTTCTATAATAATAAAGATTTAAATACTAGATAACTTAGCTAGATTACTATAATTATTAAGTTTTTTAAACTTAAATAAGATTTTTATTTTATTAAAGTCTATTATAAATATAAAGTATAACTAGATCTAATTTTTTACTATAAGTAAATAATAAAATTTTAAAAGCTATTTTAAATATATTAATAAAATAAATTACCTAACTTTTAAGATAGTTTAAAAATAAAATATAATTTTAAAATATTAAATTAACTTAGAAATAAGATTTGTATTAATAAAAAAATACTATAAATCTTTAAAGCTATTTATCTTCTTTTAAGTAAATATTATATAAATTATAATCTTTAAATAGTTACTTAGTATTTAAATAATTAGGTCTAAAAAGTTAAAATTTACTACCTTTTTTATTAATACTTCTATTATAGGTTAGAGGGTAGTAATTATAGCTAAGTATAATACTTAATTTAGAATATTTTAAATAAAAATCTATTTAATTTCTAATATAATAAACTTTATTAATTATAAATAAGTAAAGTTAGCTATAGAAAAATTCAAATTTAATTATATTTTTATAAAATTTCTTTATAAAAATTAACTTTAGTTTAATAAATATTAATTTAAGTTAGCTTATATTTTAGCTATAGTATTAATAAATATAATTTTTATTTAAAAATTAAATAGATTCTATATAGCTATTATAATATCGACTAAGCTTATAATTACTAAAAATTTAAATAAAATCTATATAAAATTTATATAAAATTATAGTTAAATTTTATTAAAATTTATATAGATTCCTATTTACTATTTAAACCTTTATTAAGATTTTAGGTAGTTTTTTATTAGATATTAAATAAAAATTAAAAGTTATTAAAGTATTAATATATAAAAAATAATTATAAACTATATATAAAATACTTAGTAATAATTATATATTATAATATATATATATAAATATTATTATTATATATTATAGCTTAAGTGCCTAGGATTCTATTTATAGCTACTATTGCTTAATATTATATAATTTTTAATAATATAATAACTAATATTATATAAGGATAATTAAAATAAAATAAAAAAATAGCTTAAAAAATTAAGCTTTTATTAATACTTATTTTTATAATTAATATTATTAATTCTTTTTAGTATATTATTTACTAAATTATATTAACTTAAATAGGTTTTCTTATAAATTTAAATAATTTTTTTATATAAAAGGCTATATTAGATTTAATTATATCTTATGTTATAGGCAGCTATAGATTTATAAAAACTAAAAGCCTATAAATAATTTCCTCCTATATATTCTTTATAACTTATACTTTTATTTTAACTAACTTTTTTATTAGCTAGAATATTATTAGAAGAAGCTTAATACTTATTTCTAAGTATTTTATATTATTTAATATGTTATTTAATCGCTAGGAGCTATTTATATTATTATTTAAAAAACTAAAATAATATTTATCTTTATAATTATATCTAATATATTATTATTAATATTTAAGCTTTTACCACTTTTCTATATAATAATAAAATAATATATTTAATATTCTTCCTTTATATATAAATACTATTTAGTTAAAGTTCATAAAAGAGGAAAAAAAGCCCTAAAGCTATATATATTATTAATATTATTTATAAATATAAAGGAGGATATAAGGGTTTAAATAAGCTAAAAAAGAAGCTAAAATTAGTTAATTACATATATTAAAGTAAGGATATAAAAGTATATTATTAAAAACTTAATATTCTAAAAATTCAATATAAACTACGTATTTAAGTACTTATTTTATAGTCTTTTAAGCTTTTTTTAGTCTTATTATTATATACTAAAAAAGTTATTAATATAAAGCTAAAAATTTAAAAATATAGACTTTCCAGAGCAGGCGTATTATTATAAAAAGCCACGAAGCGAACTAAGCTTTTTATAGCCTGGTCCCCGCGCTAGCTTGCCTAGCCTGGGGACTAGCACGCCTTAGGAGGCAACTCGTCCCCGAGGAGAAAAGAAACGCGGACTTAAGCGGACATAACAGAAGAGCCTCAGCCCTATCAAATCCTCAATTCCCTTCAGCTCACAACCATCACCATCAAAAAAACCCCGCCCTAAACCCCTCACGAAAATGCACCTCACCAACCCCCTTCTCCTCCTCCTCCTCCCCGCCTTCACAACCGCCCTCTCCCTAACATTCACCCTCCCCCCGCAACTCTCCCTCACAGGCGGCACAACGGCCTCCCTCATCTCCCACTCGCACCCCACGATCTCCGTCCCTCTAACCCGTCGGAACACCTTCGAATTCTTCTCTATCACCTTCCCTCCATCCATCTCTTTCCCATCCTCTGGGTCTAGCACCGGCGGGGAGGGAGGGCAAGGACAGAAGCAAACCCTCTACCTGCACATCCATTCCCCAACCTACGACATCGCAACCTACGCCCTCGCCCCAGCTATCGTGACGGATGGGGTGGTGAAGGAGGTGGAAGTCTACAGGACAGGTGCCGGTGGGGTGAGGGTTGCGGAGGGTGTGAGGGTCAGTGATGGCGGTGTGGTGGAGGCGAGGGTGTTGAGGGTTAGGGAGGTTTATCAGGATCGGGAAGGCTGTGAGTGGTTCCTTTTCCTTTTCTTTTGTTGGGTAAAAGGGGTAGCAGGAGCAAGGGGAGAAGAATGTGGTGAAAAGTGCTGACAAAAACCCAGTCAATCCGATGACGCTACTGAAGAACCCAATGGTACTGATCGGAGTTGTGGGATTGGCCGTCGTTATGGGCATGCCGTATTTGATGGAGAATAGTACGTTTTGCCCTTCCTCTACCCTTTCTCACCTTCGCCTACCTTTTCTCCACCCTTCTCTCCCCCATACCCGAAACCCTTTTCCCCCGTTCCATCGCCAAATAGGAATCACCACTAACACAACCTCCTTCCGCACAGTGGACCCCGAAACCCGCCGCGAATTCGAAGAAGCCTCAAAAAAGTCCGTGCTCACGGGCGGCGCGTCAAAGCCGAATCCGCTGCAAGATTTCGATATGGCTGCATGGATGGCGGGGACGCAGAAGAAGACTACTACGTCGTCTGAGGTGGGGGTGGGGAGTAGTGGTGGTGGTGGGGAAGGGACAGGAACAGGTGGTGGAAGTGGGGGTGGGACGAGGAGGAGGGGCTGATATATGTAGCAGGGTGGGAGGGGGAAGTGGAGGGTAGTGGAAGATTGAGGAAATAGGGGTGGGTTGGGAGAAGGGAAGGTATAGGATCAGGTGGAAGACGGGAGGAAAGTGCCCGGCCCGGTCTGCAAGGGATGGTGAAGCGTATGAAGTAGGCATGAACTTGGAGGTGATACACTATCCTAACTCTGCCATCTCTATCTACAACAGCGCAAACGCGACGCAGGGCATATATATCAACCAACAACACTGCCTTTTATGCCTTCTCCACCAATCACATTCCCTCACGAATATTTATTCGCCTACCAAGCATAACCCCCCTCATCCTCCCACCCATCTTCCCCATTCCAATCCTCATCCCCACTCAACTCCTCATCCAGAAAATCACTCTCGTGCAACTGCTCTTCCGTAGGGCGTAGATTATCGATCATAACGTCCACGACGTCGCACATGCCTTGTACGACCATCTCCTCTTCGCCGTCTGTGCCCTCCTTGTCATTGTTCATGCCAGCTGCGGAGATGGAGAGGGAACGGCCACCTGGTGTCTTGGTGCTTAAACGACGAGGCATCAAGGTTACTGTATCGTCCTCTAGAGCGGAGTCTTCGTCGGAGGAATCGTTCGGGTTGCGTCGTCGGCGGCGACGACGGCGGCGTTGGGAGTCGTTGGGAAAACTGGATTTGAGGGAAGATTTTGAGGAAGAGGTCTCGTTGTAGTCTTTTGGAGTTTTTGCGCGTCTGCTGCGTCGGATGTTTGATTTGCTTGCAAGTGGAGCGTCACTATCGCTTTCTCCGACAACTTCCGCTGCTCGTGGGTTGGTAACCGGGACCTGCACGCTCTGTAGTTTTATCTCCACAAGGCTCTTGCTCTCCTTTCGATTCGTTGGTCTTTCCTGCCTCTTCCATGCTTTGAAAGCGAGAATTGATTTGAAGTGAGGGTTGGGAGGTGGTGAAGAGCGTAAGAAGACGTGTCTGAGTCTTTGAGTCCATTTGTCGCGGAATGCGATGCGTTCCCGCCAGCCACTCTCGTCAAGACTTGCTTTAATACGGATCTCTCGTAAGTCTGCAAGGTCGGAGGCCGCGGAGACTAGACTGTCAAAGAATGTCCTCGCAACAGATGTCTGCCATTTGCGAAGGTGATAGAGCTCAAGACGTTGCAGCGAGCGGGGCCAAGTAGGAAGATCAGAAGGGGAGAGGAGAGCACGGAACTGTGGTTCGGTATCTGATACGGTGGCGTAGGCGCTGTAGAAGATGAGATCCATCGTGAGAGCTTCAAGTTTGGGACAGGCGACAGCGAGATGATTTAGCCAGGCGAGATTAAGGCGGCGGTTGTGGTTGAGCACTAGTTTGGTGAGATGATCACCTTTGGATTGAAGGAAGAACCCCAATGATGCAGCTTCAACCCCACAATCTACCAGCTCAAGGCTTGTGAGATTGTTGGGCAGCCTGGCCAGAGGCATCGTCTCCAATATAGGCGAGCTCTTGAATGACAGGGATCGCAGTGAAGGCAAGGCCTGTAGCGACATTGGGAGAACATCTCGTGTGTACTCTTTCCCGCCGTCACCATCACCATTGTCGCGACTGATGTCGTCGTAGTTGACAAATGTAAGATTGCGTATGGTTTGAAAGGCGGGAAGTGGATGGGTTTCTCGGAGCAGCTTGTGATATGATTCAAGGCGGACCATGTTGGCATTCCATATCCACTCTTGTAATTTGAACTCAGCATTGCTAAGCATATCTGGCATGTATTCGGGGTATGCAACATTGGCGACTCGTTTGTGGGCATACAGCTGATACCATTTTGGGTTGTCGGATAGCAAATGAGTGCCTATGCCGCGTAGCTGAGGTGTTATACGCAGTAAACGAGCGAGATCAAAAGGATCTAAACTGTCCGATTTCCGGCCAAGAATATCTCTTGCTTCGAAATCCAAATACTTGATCTTCGCTCTGTAATTCATGGATGAAGCAACGTTCTGCGCCTCTAGTCGCTCAACCAGTTCGCGTACTCGGTTAGGTGGAGAAAGCGGTGGAGAGGCGTATAGTACTGAAAGGGCAGGCTCTGCACATGCCTTGCAGGTTCGTGCCATTTGCGTGAGCCAGACGACGTTGAAGGTAGGTGAGAAGTCTTCATTTATCAGAGGGCGTGATGCATAATCAAAGATCATCTCGAGAATGTGGTAAGGTAGGGTTGACCATAACATTGCTTTGCCTGTCAAATGGATGTCATATTCCTTCTTCTTCATCACTGGTTCCTTTGCTTTCCCCTTACCCTTGTCAGCACCGAATTGCCGTAACTTGGGTCGTTTTGACCGGGTGGATCGTTGTGGTGTTGAGGCTGCTTTGCGTTTACGCTTTATCTCCTTTTTTATAGACTGGTTCGTGCTTTCAAGCTCGGCGTATGTCGTTCCCGGTGAGACTGGTGAGGAAAAATGCTCAACAGCTCCCTGACTAAAACCTTCCATTGGGTCGTCTCCAGGTTCCGTGTACACAACCCGTTTCCGGGAGCTTCGAGGAGGGGTTGGCGGTGCGGGTGAGAAGGGTGTTCGAGAATAGTCGTCATCGTCAAATTCAGGATCAGAAGCTGGCTCGATATATGAGGTGTGCTTTCGAGCGCTGCGGGCTTTTGGGATGTGGTTGGTCTTAGGTGGTGGCGTCGCCTGCCGACGAAGTCGCATCGTCGGTGCCATAATGGGATTCAAAGAGCGTTAAAGGAGGTTCAGATGTTTTCGGCACATCTGGTCCTCCGCCGTGTCCGTAGCGTGAAGCTGGACTGTACAAGCGTTGAGGAATCTCATTATAGAGAGTCTGAGAGTAAAGACTCACGCACATTTCCGGCGCTAAGATAAGCTAATCAGATCGGAGATACGCTATCGGCACAAGGCCATTCTGACGCGACATCAATTACTGACATGACGAGCATACAACTTCGTCGAGGTAAACTCTTGGACATCCTCGTGAAGACGTCTCATTCGTCATGTCTTATTCTGCGGGACTGAAGATGAGTGACATCTATTGTTCTTTGTTTAATCTCTACGCGGGGGATATTGTGGACACTTCACCTCTGCAAGCTCACTCGTTGGCTAATCATTGTCTGGTCCCATCAACGATGGACTGCATTGAAGATTTCTCCATCACGTCTCGATCTCGACTAAGTATCATCCTCGCCGCTTGCGACATCTCATTCTCCCCCGGCTTCTAGGCTTTGCATGGTGCTAAGATCCGTGTTTCGTCTTGCCCTGATAATGACAAAGCTCTCCATGCACGAAAGGCATCAATGCTCCTTGAAAACCAATTGCAACCTCAATATCTCGGATTGCTGTGTATTTGATTCGATTCCTACCTCAGATGTGATTCTTGAGGTCCGATTCAGGGCTCCGGAAGTCTTGCCCCAAAGTTGCCCCCCGCTGTCGGGGTCGTCAATTCTAGACTTGCAACTGCTCCAAAGGGGAAGCGGAATCTCGTCAACGCACGCGACGGTGATGTCACATCGACCAAATGGTTTGGCTATTGATGAAAAAGGGTAACGCCTCGCGGAGTCGGTGAAGATTGCGCCGAGTGCCTTGATTTGAAGTGTCTACTTATAGATCGCTACGTTTCTTTCCTTTTCTACTTCTTCCACCAGCTCTAGTCACTCTCTAAAGATCCCTCTCTTCGCCTGCAAGAGTCGTCTGAGCTTATCCTACAAATCGTCCCTCGTTGAAAGCCTCTGGCTACCTTCGTCACTCTCTGCTTGTGTACGAGTACAACTCAAAATGCTATTCACTACCGCTGCCTTCACGCAGCTTCTGCTCACATTTGCTCCTGTTACACTTGCACAACTGCAAAATGATCTTGTCGCTTCACTTCAACCTCGTGCAATCACGCCACCAAACCGCTACCGACTCAGAACGAGCGTCACGCATGGCGGTGATCCAAGCAAACATGGGCTCTATGTCTCTGGCTACCATACTGGTACGAGAAACAAAAACTTCCAATTTTGCAAAAACACCATCTTGTCTTTTGTGTCTCTCCATTTAGCAAGTCCAACTGTCTGCTTTTCCGCTTGAACCTAATGGATCCGCTGTGCGTATTCCCGACTGATACAATCTTATAGGAGCTGGCCTCAACGACGCTGTCTTGACTGAAGGAACGGGCTCAATTGGGTTCCTGAATGACACCTACCAACAGTTTGACTTCAACACAACATTCCCTTGGTCCTTCAACCTAATCAGTGCGAGCAATTACGGAGCTTGGGAAGACGTTCAGCTCAACGTGGGTCAAGACACACCCGGCTTTTTCTTCAACGAGACTGGCCTACAGTGGAGTGCAAATGCCGCATTTGATCCCAACAACACCAGCCCAGCTACAGATGAGTTCGGTGGCTGGCTTGGTAAGTCAGATGCTGTGATACCTGATGAACCGCTAACAGATGTTTAGCTTGCGACTGGTATCATGGTGTGCCTCAACTCTTCTGGAAGTTCTCCTACGCCGACCCCCCAATCCCATGCAGTTGTGCCACGGTACAATTGTACCCGGAGGCTGTGGTAGCTGCCATCAGCAATCCAGTCCGCAGCGCTCCATCGGCAGACTGGTTCCGAGCAAAGCACACAGAGAAGCCTGAAGAGACAACCAAAGCTACACCTACAGTGAGAGGTGCCTCTGAGGCTCCGGAATACACCTCCACTGAAAGGTCCTTCCAGGCCGACTGGTTCAAAGTGAAGCGTGCTAAATCATCCATCCACACTCCAAAGCCAACAACTACAAAGGCGTCATTCAAGGCAGATTGGTTCAAAGAGAGACGCGCCAAATCCACCTCCCAGCCACCTAAATCGACACCTACAAAGCCATCATTTAAAGCAGACTGGTTCAAGCAGAAACGTTTCCAGAAGCGTGCCCAGCAACCCGATATCGAAATCAAACCTCTCGTTGCAAAACCATCCAAAGTCCCCTCAAGCGAACCCACAAAGAAGCCATCCACCTTCGGCACCGACTGGTTCAAGCTCAAGCGTGCCGTCGAAGCCAAAGAGACCACCAAAGCTACCCCAACGCCAAAGCCTACGAAAGTGGCACCGACGACCAATTGGTTCATCAAGCGTGCCGTTGAAGGCGAAGGAACTACCACAGCTACATCAAAGCCAAAGCCTACGACAAATTGGTTCATCAAGCGCGCCGAAGATCTACTCCATTGAACTTCTGCTGTGACAGATAGCAAGGACTCACCTGAGGGTAACTGGTAATTTGCAACAATTGTTTCTGAACGACGGCCCCGGCATTCGGGAAACCTGATGTGATGAGGAAGAAGAGATTACGTGTATTGCTAGACTTTGCTCACGACATCACATCGCCACCATAGTGAGCTTTTGCTTGGACGTGAAAATGGCGAGGCGTTAACATGAATGTATGACAGCCTCGTAATGTTAGAGTCTTTTAGAGGTTACACATATCGATAAACACCATTTCACACCGCTGAGCCACCTTAGTCCTCCCTCCCTCTCATCCAAGTTTTCTTTCCTCCTTTCACCTTTCCATCTCATCTTGGCATCCCCATATCCCCCGTCAATGAAGAACCCCTCCTAACCTCCAAGCCAATCAGTGCCCCCCTACTCCCTCAGCTCTCCATCTCAAACCAACCTAACCCCCAGCTTTATCCTCCTCACTCCCAACCCCACACGCCCCATGCTTACCCTTATCCTCATCCTCACACTCACGACATCATGCACTAAGCGCTCCCATCCCTTGCCCGCAATCCCCGTCCTTCCTTACCCCCTCGTCGAGAACACGCAGCAATCACCCCAACCATTCCAGTCGCACCCATTCCGCAGAAGTGTTGAATGTAAAGGCTGAGAGTGGAGGAAGAGGGTGAGAGACAGTGCGGTGCAGTGCGGTGGGGAGATGTAGAACCGCTTTGGGGGAGAGAAGCTGAGGGGGAGAGAAGCTGAGGGGGAGAGAAGCTGAGGGGGAGAGAAGCTGAGGGGGAGAGAAGCTGAGGGGGAGAGAAGCTGAGGGGGAGAGAAGCTGAGGGGGGAGGGGTGATGGGGAGGTATTTGTGGGAGTGGAAAGGAAGGGTTGAGGGGTGGGTGGTCGAGGATGGAGGCGATAGAGGGGGAGGGGGTTTGAGGTTAGAAACGATTTGAGGTTTGAGGAATGACAGGGTTGAGGGGTGGGAGGAAGGGAGGAGAGGCAAGTAAGGGGCCGGGCTAGGGCGATAAAAGGGGTGGGTATTGAGTGGTGAGTCTGTGGGAGGCGGCGGGGATAGGATGGGTAAGAGCGAACAGACAGTGAATGAGGTAGGGGAGCTGGGTTCTGCGTAGAGGGATGCAGGAGCCGAGATGGGAGGTTGATGGGATAGATGCGGTGGAAACTAGGGTGGTGGTTGTTGGAGCGACCGAGCGGATTGATTGAGTACCTTGGCAGAGACGAATTGTAAGATCGAAACAAGGGGAAAAATTTGACGATGCCGTCCGACTTATGGGTGGCTCCTTTCTTTCATACCAATGCTCATGTACTCCGATCCTGCAAGCGCAATACTGCACACCATCGAACATCACATGCAAAACAACATCTGCATTTTCAAACACCCTCATGGCACATCCACTCCACATCTCCGTCACCGAATCGCCATGCAGCTAACGTCAGACACACCTGCTCCCTTGGTTCCAGAGGTTCCAATATCTGTTGCTGCAATTCGACCGGTAAGCGCTGGAAACCGCCGCGCAAGCGGGAACGTATGTTGGTAAATGGTCGGTGACTGTTATGAGTCTCAGCGGCGTGGAAGAAGCTGTTTGGTGGGGAGAGGCGGCTGAGAAGAGAGAAACGGACATCCTCGGGCAGGAGGTATGGATCGGGTTCGCGCTGGTTAGGTGGAGATTTTGTAGAGCGTGGGAGCGGTGGTGAGATTGGTGGTGGCGATGGTGGAGGGCGGGTAGAGTGGTGGGAGCTAGAGGCCGATGGACTGCGCTGAATTGGCGGAGGTCGTTGATTGGATGTCTCACGGGCGACAGTGTTACCTTTTCCCAAGTCGTTCGAAGCATCGCCGCTTGCGTCCCGAGGAATATTGCTGGTGTGATCCTGCCTAGTCTCATTGGTAGGTCGTGGGAGATGGCTGGGGTGAAGGCCTTTCGCATGCTCCCAGCTATCAAAAAACCCAGACCTTGGCCAAAGCAGAATGAGCTTTAGCTGGTGCGTCGAGAGATGCGGTGCGATGCCGTGATGACGGAGAAGATGCCATAATCCTGCTAGTATTGAAGGATAAGATTCCAGTGGTAGCCGCGCAAGGATGTTGAGCAGAAGCTCAGCCGGTAGTTGGTAAATGGGGAGCGATCGGAGACTGAGGAAGCCAAGCGAAGCTGAGAGCCGAGCTTCGGCGTGTTCATCAGCTGAGTTTGGATTTCTGTACTGAATCGAAGATAGTGGTTGGTTCGTCATCATCAGAGTTTTCAAGCTTTGAAATGGAGTGAAGTTGATGGGAGATGGCTTGTGAGAGAGGCCAGGCGATGAGGGCGATGGCGATGAGATAGATGGCTGTTGGGCCAAGAGAGCGTGGGAAGACGTTGAGAATGTATGGATCGAGAGCTATCTGCGTTAGTATTGCCGGTTGAAAGGGCAGCCAAGCGTACTGATCTCAGCCCTCACGTCTGGTACATGTTGCATCAAAGTCGCGTTCGGAGTAAAGTAATCAGCTGCTGCCTGAATGCGTAGAAAAATCACGGAAGTCGGGCCGAGTCGGGTGTGCAAGTCTTTGATGGTGGATTGCTGCTGTGGTGAAGAAGATAAAAATTGCTCTGAAAGAGTCTCGAGAGAAGTGAGAAGGGACTGCTCATCAAGAGCCTCCGAAGTCGTAAATGTATCAAGATTGAAAGAAGTTGGTTGCTTGAGAGACTCAGTGTATGTCGCGGACAAGGGAGTAACGCAACGAAGCAATGCATTTCAAAGAAGATATTACACACCGTGGCTGCCCAAGAGATACGGACTTCGTAGCGTTGATGCGCAGTAAGCCGGTCAAGAACAAACCAGGCTTCGCTGCCTTGCGGCCAAGAGGGAGAAGGAAATGATGCTGGAAGTGATAGCCGAATCGACGGCAACGATGGCGTCAAGCTCAACAGCGTGAGATAATCCAGACGAGATGGTATGGTTGGAGACAGAGGAGCAGGCGCGAGAAATATAGCTTTCTCTACATTTGCCCAAGTCGGCAGAATGAAGATGCTGAGAATGAGCAGCAGGATATCGAATTGCACCATTATCAGGTCACATGAAGCTTAGGCCACTTTTCCATGAGTATCCGCATCATGTATACAACGTCAACCACCATTATGTTCTCACGAGCATCCCCGACGAACCTTCTTACAGTGTAAAGTGCAACTTGAGGGTGTCTGGATGAATCAGCCCTAGCTCTAACCACTTTGGGATATTTAGCGTACCACAATGTTGACATCGCGCCTGCAGCGTCAACACATTGACCCCCTTCAAAGCCTGCATCTGCCCTCACGACTAGCACTCAACCCTTTATTGCAAGGTCAAGTTGCAACTATCCGCATCTTGAAGCCATTATATCCGAAAGCAGAAGCGTCTCGACACCATGAGAGAGGTCATTAGTTTGAACGGTACGTCTTTCAAGAGACGCGCTTTCCCTGAGTGTGAAGCATGCCATGAGCGACTGTACCTGTTGCTAATCCAATACCTGTCATAGTGGGCCAAGCTGGCTGCCAAATTGCCAATTCTTGCTGGGAGGTACGCTTGATAACTTGAAATTGGTCTGGAGGGGCATCTGAAGCTAATGAATTGCAACAGCTCTACTGCTTGGAGCACGGAATCCAGGTACGGAAGCCTTGTGGGCCTGCATCACGATCTTAAGAATACCAGTGAAGGACTATACTGACAGACGTTGTTGTTTTAGCCGGATGGCTTTCTCACAGAGGAACGTAAGGAGCAAGATCCCGATCAGGGCTTTAGCACATTCTTCTCCGAGACTGGTACGCTCAAACCCCCCATGTATCAGCGCAATTCTGACATCCAATTGTTAGGCAATGGAAAATACGTCCCACGAACCATCTACTGCGATCTTGAGCCCAATGTCGTCGACGAAGTCCGCACCGGCACTTACCGCTCTCTCTTCCATCCTGAACAGATGATCACCGGAAAGGAAGATGCCTCAAACAACTATGCACGAGGCCATTACACCGTCGGGAAGGAGTTGATTGATCAAGTGTTGGACAAAGTCCGCCGTGTTGCAGACAATTGCTCGGGTCTACAGGGGTTCTTGGTCTTCCACTCATTTGGTGGGGGTACTGGATCAGGCTTCGGTGCTCTTCTTATGGAGCGTCTCTCTGTCGATTATGGCAAGAAGTGCAAGCTCGAGTTTTGCGTCTACCCCGCTCCTCAGGTCGCAACGTCGGTCGTCGAGCCATACAACTCTATCCTGACCACACATACAACCCTCGAGCACTCTGACTGCAGTTTCATGGTCGACAATGAGGCTATCTATGATATCTGCCGTCGCAATTTGACGATCGAGCGCCCCAACTATGAGAACCTAAACCGCTTGATTGCGCAGGGTAAGCGTTGCAAATCTCAACCCATCCTCATGCTGACCACGTCAAGTCGTCTCGTCCATCACTGCCTCTCTCCGCTTCGACGGCTCTCTCAACGTTGATCTGAATGAGTTCCAGACTAATCTGGTTCCATATCCACGTATCCACTTCCCACTCGTCGCCTACTCGCCAGTCGTATCTGCCGCCAAGGCTTCACATGAAGCTAACTCTGTGGCTGAGATTTCAAGCTCCTGCTTCGAGCCTCACAATCAGATGGTAAAATGCGATCCTCGCAACGGCAAATACATGGCGACTTGCCTCCTCTACCGCGGCGACGTTGTACCCAAGGAGGTCCATGGTGCTGTCGCCACTCTCAAGACTAAGCGCACCATCCAATTCGTCGACTGGTGCCCTACAGGGTTCAAGATTGGAATTTGCTATCAACCCCCTCAGATGGTCCCTAACGGTGACCTTGCTAAAGTCAACCGCGCTGTGTATGTCATAGCTCTCCTGATCTGCGATCTGCCCTATTTCATAGCTAACATACTTACAGCTGCATGTTGTCCAATACTACTGCTATCGCCGAGGCCTGGTCGGCACTCTCTCATAAATTCGATCTCATGTACTCCAAGCGCGCCTTCGTCCACTGGTATGTTGGTGAGGGTATGGAGGAGGGTGAATTCTCCGAAGCTCGTGAAGACTTGGCTGCCCTTGAGCGCGACTACGAGGAGGTTGCTACGGACTCAGCAGAGGGCGAGGAGGGCGCTGAAGCGGAATACTAAATACCCAGCTTGTGTTCTGGTCCTACCAGATTGCTTTGCTTGGACCGGGCAATTTATTTTCTTCACAGCGACTAGATCTTTGTAGGACATGCAAGTGTCTGGAACAAGATGAGCGCAGATGAATCACGAAGCGTTGAAGCGGCTGAAGGCGAGTAGTACTAGTATCTTAGATTGACAAGCAATTCTGTTATTAAGGGTTCAAGAGTTTCCGCTGCTGATCAATGCGCTATGACTCGCCAGTCAAAGAGCGTCAATTGAAATGAGTGTACGTTCACAGGGCTGCTGAATCCCTATTTCGCAGCTTTTCAGCCGTCTTGCAGATTAGTCAGCGACCGTGGATTAAATGCCAAGACTCAAGACTGGCCGACAGCTTCCAGAGGTTGGGGGCGAACATAATCCTGTGAAGACGCATGAAGTTGCACAAGTATGATGCATTCAATTAGAGCGAGGTGGCCATGTAGCTTTGATACAGCTTAATTACTAAGGAGGTCCAAGTCTACTTTCGGAGCTATTGAAGCATATTCGGTATTCGTCATGGCTGACATCGAGGGAACGACTCAGTCCCGTATGTTTATACAGGAGAACACTCCATCTATACTCAAGGGAAGCTTCTGACCGTTACAGATCCCAACCTACAACTCTCTCCAGACGAGCGCCGATTCTTCGGCCAGCTCTTCGCCCAAGCGGACGCTGACAAACTTGGCGTTGTTACCGGCGAACGAGCTGTGTCGTTCTTTGAAAAGACGAGACTGTCTTCAGATGTCCTTGGAGAGATATGGCAGATCGCGGACACTGAAAATAGGGGATTACTTACGCCCTCTGGATTTGGGATGGTATTGCGATTAATTGGATATGCTCAGGCGGGACGAACTGTCAACCAGGAGTTGGCATTCAAGCGTAAGAGCGCAGGACCTGTACATCAGATACTGTGACAAGGCTGAAAAACTCTATGTATAGCAGGTGGACCACTTCCAAGGTTTGATGGCATAACGACTCCGGGACCGCTGCCCTCGGCTGCGGCCCCACTGCAACAGCAAAACAGCGGAGCGATACGCGTCCCACCTTTAACAGTAGATCGAGTCGCGCAGTATACATCACTTTTTGAGGAATCAGGCGCGCAAAATGGAGTCCTTCCTGGTACGTGTGTCGCAGGCTTGATGATTCCAGGGGGCTAAATTCTTTCACAGGGGAGACTGCAAAATCAATCTTTGAAAGAGCACAACTTCCAAATGAAACACTGGGGAGAATATGGGCCTTGGCGGATACTGAGCAAAAGGGAGCCTTGGGCCTGACAGAATTCATAATTGCCATGCACCTCCTCGCCTCAATGAAGAATGGCTCAATGCGCGCTCTGCCTCAAGTTCTGCCCGTCGGTCTTTATGAAGCTGCTGCGAGAAGAGGAGGTCCACCACCCGGTGCACGATCTCGACCTACATCAAATGAGGCAGTCTCAGCTATACCTAGACAATTCAGTGGGGGGTTTGCACCTCCTCAGAAGACAGGCACTGGAGAACCATGGCTGGTCAACCCACAAGACAAGGCTCAATTTGACTCAATATTTGCGACCGTCGATACTCAGAATCGTGGCTTCATTACTGGCGAGCAGGCCGTTGGATTCTTTGGCAACGCAAGATTACCAGAAGAAGCTTTGGCACAGATTTGGGACTTGGCAGACATTAATTCGGAGGGGCAGCTGAACAGGGATGAGTTCGCAGTTGCAATGTATCTCATTCGGCAACAAAGAAGCAAGACCACAGGTCGTGATGTCCTACCACAGCAGCTGCCGCCCCAACTCATACCGCCTAATATGCGAAGGCAACCAGTTGCTCCTCAACAGCCCACCGCTCCTGCCTTCGATAATGCTGCAAACGTTACAAAACCTAAGTCGGCCTCTGACGATCTATTCGGCTTAGATGTGCTGCCCTCTCCAGCTCCGGCCGCTCCGATACAAGCAAGAAGCACGGGTGACTCCAGTGCATACGCTACACCCCCAAGGAACCAGGGTTCACCTGCTCCGACCTCTGCGCAGTCCTCTCATTTCAGGCCCTTCATACCCTCATCCACGTTTGGTCAATCGATAATACCCCAACAACCTACTACGACAGGTACTACTAGCCCTGCCGCGACAAGATCTGTTCCAGCGACACAGCAGCCGTCAGCTATGGATGACCTCCTCGGCGATAATGATCCAGAAGTCAGTAAAAAGTTGACCACGGAGACGTCTGATCTCGCGAATTTGTCCAACCAAGTCGGTCAATTGACCGGTCAAATGCAGGAGATCAAGAGCAAGGGTGTGAATACACAGCAAGATCTAGGCCAAGCTCAAAATCAAAAGAGACAATTTGAGACTCGACTCTCTGAGCTACGGGCTGCATATGAGCAGGAAGTGCGTGAGGTCCGGGCGCTGGAAGAACGCCTCAGAGAATCAAGAGAGGGAACCAGGAAGCTGCAGTCCGATTATCACATGATTGGTGGTACGCATGAAGACCTCAAGAATCAGCATCGGCAAGTCAGTGAGGCGCTGGTTGCCGATCAAAATGAGAACGCTGGTCTCAAGGAGAGGATCAGAGCAGCCAGCGCCGAGATTGAGCAGCTGAAGCCGCAACTGGAAAAGATACGCTCGGACGCCAGGCATCAAAAAGGTCTTGTCGCCATCAATAAAAAACAGCTGGCTACCCATGAAGCCGAACGTGAGAAAATCAAGGCGGAGGCAGAAGTAGCAAAAGAAGAGCACGCACAAGCTACTAGGGAAGCTGAACAGAGCCAACGCAGTCTCGATACTGCCTCGCAAGCAAAAGCTCCACCACCCGCAACCAGTCCGCCAGTGGTGGGTAGTCCTACGCCATCAACAGCCGCTAGCATGAATCCATTCTTTCGAAGACCTTCAAATCCACCTCCGGCAGAAAGAGGTCCAATCGCTTCACCTTTCACGCCACAAGCCGCTTCTTCCCCTTTCGTACCACCGAGTGTATCTTCACCTAATCATAATGCCTTCGACAGCTTTTTTGGGCCTCCTGCTGTCTCTTCAACTCCACCGCCTCCTACGTCATTCAAGAGTGACTCTCCAAGCGCAGCTACACGGACAGTCGACAGTGGCCTGACATCAACACCGCCAGCTTCTTCGGTCACCTCTAATACGACCGACTCCCCAGCCACTGCTAGTGAGCCACCTGCACCTCCTCAGTCGAGACAAATTACGTCCAGTTTCCTCCCTCTTCGTCCCAACCTTGAAGACTCAGCATCGGAAAGCTCTTCAGTGAAAGTCATTCCACCAGCTAGCCGTGCAGGCGAAAGATCTGAAACTCCGACATATGATCAATCGGAAGCTACCATTCCAGAGTCGCCGCTGCAGCATTTCCAAGATCTCGCGTCAAAGCCTCCACAATCTGATCGCGCTCAATTGACTCCACCGTCGTCGCAACAAACGCCCGAAATCCCCGCCCAAGAAGTAGTTGCTCCACATGTTCCTGCTCAAGTCAATCCTCTACCTACTCCTCATGATGTCCCGGGTGCGTTCCCAGGAGATGAGACTCCTTCAGAGCGAACTCAGCCTAGTCCGTTTATACCATCTGTCGGCCCCTATGGTGGCTCGGGACTTGATCCTCGCGTAGATGCGATCCCTGAAGTCGAGTCAACTCGGCAGGCGCCCCATCTTCAACCTGGTATCGCAGATCCATTTGGCAGGTCCAGTACACCGACATCTGCAAAGGATGACTTCGATAATGCTTTCAGCGGTTTCTCGTCGAACAAGGGCAAGAAACCGGAACAGCACAATGGTGCTATTACTGGCGATCCATTCGCACCTTCAGCTCCTCAACAGCCTTCTGAATTCCCTCCCATTAAGGAGCTCAATGCGGATGACGAAAGTGACAGTGATAGCGATAAGGGGTTCGATGATGACTTTACGACTAGGTCTGCTAAAAAAACTAAGGAGTCAGGACCAAATGACGCTCTCCAAGGCCAAGGAGGCTTGGTAAGCGAGAAGGATTTCGCGCCGCCGCGACTGCCTTTCAATATTTCAGATTCCCCATTGCCTACTCCAGGAGCTCAACAATCTCCTCCAACGTATGACCAGATTGTTGGCCCAGCGGACGCCAAAGTCAGTGATCGAAAAGGTTCAAACCAATTTCCAGCAGAATACTCGGGCTTGCTCCCTTCACGAGATGATCCGACATCGCCTCCTCTATCAATGTCGCCACCAGAAGAGAAATCTAACCTCATCTCATCTACCGGTATCGATCGAGGTCTGAACTTCTTCCCTGATGAATCCACTTCAAGACCTACTGAGGGTCCTCTCACAACCCAACGCTCCCCAATGTCACCCGGCGCAACCATGAACGCTCCTTACGCATATACTCATACCTCACCCGACACGTCTCAACCTCCCACACTTCCAGCCAAAATCCCACCAACCCCAAAAGACGACTTCGATGACTTCGAAGACCTGACGCCTGCGCAAGAAGAAGACGAAAAAGGTGACGACACCATCAACTTCGGCCGCTCAACCACCGACCCAGATTTCAATCCTATCTTCGACTCGCCATCCACCTCACACCATGCACCAGGACAGAGTCAAAGCAGCAGCCAGTTCCCGCATTCAACTACCGACTCCGTCAACGACTTCGCCTCCACGACCGCCGCTCCAGGACAGCAGAAACAGCCCGTCTCAGTAAGTCACGACTGGGACGCCATCTTCGCCGGCCTGGACGCGCCCTCCTCTTCCTCTGCGCAGCAGAATAACACAGACGATATCTTCGCCCCGTCCAGCGCGCCCAATGGGACGCAACACCCATCCTCGATTCCACCACCACAGACGAGACTGGGAGCTGAGACGGCCGCGGCGTCGTCGGCGGGAGGGTTTGCTGGAGCACCATCAAATGGAGCAGAATTGCGTAAGACTAAATCCCCGGCGTCTGTGTCGGCGCCGGTAGAGGTCAGTGGCGAGGATGACGATCCAATCTTGAAGAGGCTGATTGGGATGGGGTTTCCACGGGCGCAAAGCTTGAAGGCGTTGGAGAAGTATGATTGTGAGTCTTCCTTTCACTGAGAGAGCACGTTATGCGAGGCTGTGTTGAAAGAGAGGGGCTAACGGTTGTGGTAGATAATATTGATAAAGCTGCTGAGTATTTACTCGCTACTAGTGGTAAGTAAGTGAGTAAGGTGCTGGTGGTGTTCGATGGGGATGGGGCTGCCGATGAATAGAAGCTGGCGGGGAAGCGGTAGGGTTTGGGGTCGAGGCTGCGGTGAGAAGGTGTTTATAGTTGGCATTACCAAGGGCCGGGCGGGGGTCAGTATATGAATATTTCGTTGTTCTTGTCATATTTGAAGCGCGCGGTGGTGTTATTGTTAAAAATTCCGGCCGTGGAAGTCATTCGCTACCTTAGCTGAGAAATAGTTTGGTGGATTGATAATGTAATGCTATGCTTTTTATGTCACCACCACCATCACGTATCGCTGCCTTACCTTTACTTGTCTTGCCTTCGTAGGAACGCTCGAGGGGGGGGTTTCGATTCAACACTTTATGTTCATAGACAGGTACAACGACAAAAGGAATGAATGAAGCATCACCGGTCGCTCTCTGCTCGTAATTTCAATTCCAATTCCAATTCCATGCACGAACATACATACATACAAGCAAGGCTATACACTAAGAATAAACTAATACTAAACTGGGTAAAACGACTGGTATATCTCGCTCAAAGCCACCAAAGGAATCGCCTGCGCAACTGTGAATAAGCATGAGCAATAGCAATGACCAAAGTTTTCTTTTCCTCCCACGGGGCCTAATGGATGGATGCTGAATTTTCGTCTGTTTCCTTCGTGATTTAATAAGCTGCTTTCACGTTGATGATGCGCTTTGTACAATCCCCACCCCTCCCTCCTCCCCCCTTCTCCCTCTCTCATCCCCACTACCTACCTGCACTTCCCATCTACACACCCACGGTTGCGCACGATTCCTACGCCGCAGGAACAGCCATCCCCTTCATCCGATCCGGCTTCCCCATGATCTCATAGGGCGCTCTCTGCACGATGCCGCCCGTCTTCGGCAGCATGGTGGCTGATTGCATCAGGTAGGAGTCTACGTCGCGGGCGGCTTGGCGACCTTCGTTGATGCCCCTGTTATGGAGACGGTTAGCACTCGTTCGTATGAATGTGGGGTTTGAGATTCGGGGATGGAAGAATGGGGTAAGTTTGGAGGATGGAAAGGAGAGGGACGGGGAGGGAGGGACATACCAAACGATCAAACTCTGCCCCCGTCTACAATCCCCCGCCGCAAAGACTCCAGGAAGATTAGTAGCGTACTGTCCCGCCGCCCCGCCAGTCTTCACATTCTTCCTCGCATCCCGCTCAACCTGCTCCCCTAGCACGCGCTCCTCGGGCCCAAGGAAGCCCATCGACAACAGCACCAGTTGCGCGGGGAAGAACTGCTCGCTTCCCTCTACGGTCTTCATGTCCCACCCGCCCGTCACGGATTTAGTCCAGGAGACGCGGTGGGTGTTCACGCCTGCTACTTTGCCTTTCGCATCACCATCCCCACCATCTTCAGTGACGAAATCTTTGGACATGACGCAGTATTCGCGCGGGTCGCTTCCCATATGCGTCTTCACTTCCACATGGCCGTAATCGACGCGGTAGATACGCGGCCATTGCGGCCAAGGGTTATCATTGCCCCGACTAGGAGGCGGTTGGGGGAGGAGTTCGAAATTAGTGACGGAACGAGCGCCGTGTCGGACAGAGGTGCCAATGCAATCATTACCTGTATCCCCACCGCCAATGACGATCACGTCTTTATCCTTCGCGGAAATGTACGCGCCATCCCCCAGCTCGGAATCGAGCAGCGATTTCGTGTTCGCGTGCAGGAATTCCATCGCGAAATGGATGCCTTCGAGCTCGCGGCCTGGGATCTTAAGATCGCGCGCGACCGTTGCGCCTGTGGCGAGGACGACAGCGTCGGAGCTCGCACGGAGGCTGTCGAGCGTTGTGTCGTGGCTGGGCCCGACGGGATGCGAGGGACGGAAGGTGACGCCCTCGTCCGCCATGAGATCCACGCGCCGCTGCACGATCGTCTTGTCGAGTTTCATGTTCGGGATGCCGTACATGAGCAGCCCGCCGATGCGGTCGGAGCGCTCGTAGACGGTCACGGTATGCCCTGCTTTATTGAGCTGGTCAGCGGCCGCAAGGCCAGCGGGGCCAGAACCGATGATTGCGACTGTTTTGCCCGTGCGGTGGACGGGGGTTGCGGCACCATCCAGCCCATGTCGAAGCCGCGGTCGATGATGGCGCATTCGATGCTTTTGATGCCGACGGGGTCTTCGTTTATGCCGAGCACGCAGGCGCCTTCGCAGGGTGCGGGGCAGACTCGGCCGGTGAATTCGGGGAAGTTGTTTGTCATGAGGAGCCGGTTGAGGGCGTCTTGCCATTGATTTTGGAAGACGAGCTCGTTCCATTTCGGAATGATGTTGGAGATCGGGCAGCCGGTGTCGGATTGGCAGAAGGGGACTCCGCAGTCCATGCAGCGGGCGGCTTGGTATTTGAGGCCGTCTTCGTCCAGACGAGAAGAGAGTTCTTTCCAGTCGCGTGTACGCGTCTCGGGTTTGCGGTACTTCTCGCTGCGTCGTTGGTATTTCATGAAGCCTTTGGTTTTGTCAAGGACAAGAGCGGAGCGTTTCTTCTCCGCTTTACCGTCGGTCACAGACTCTTCAATGTCGAGCATCTCTTTCTTCTTCTGCTGCTCTTCTCTTGCGTGCACCTCGTTTCTGGATGCTTCGTGATTGGTACGCACGGCATTGCCAGGCAGGATTGGTAGGGGATATTCAGCCTTCTTCGCGGCTTCTGCTTTTGCTTGCTCTTCCAGCATAACGCGCTTGTAGTCTGTTGGAAGAATTTTGACGAGTCGTGGGAGTGCACGGTTGAAGTCAAGGAGTACACGAGCAGCAAGCTCAGAGCCAGTGTAGTGATGATGATCTTCGATCAATCCACGTACGAATGCGATCTCGGATGGATCCTCGATACCAGATATCTCCACCATCTCAGTATTCACCTTGGACTCAAAGTCTTGGTTCATATCTAGGACATATGCAATTCCACCAGACATACCAGCTGCGAAATTGCGCCCGGTACTACCCAGGACGAGAACTCTGCCACCCGTCATGTACTCACAACCATGGTCACCGATGCCTTCGACAACAGCGGTTGCGCCAGAGTTTCTGACGGCGAATCGCTCGGCAGCAACACCACGGAAGTAGCAGTATCCGCCAGTCGCTCCGTACAGGCAAACGTTTCCGATGATGATGTTCTCTTCGGCCTTGAAGACAGCCGATCGAGGAGGGTAGATGATGAGTCGTCCACCTGACAATCCTTTGCCGACATAGTCGTTTGAGTCACCTTCTAGCTCTAGCGTAACACCGCTTGCGAGGAAGGCTCCAAAAGATTGACCTGCAGATCCCTTGATGTTTGCATGGATTGTATCTTGGGGCAAGCCAGCCTCTCCATATCTTCTACTGATCTGGTAGGACAGGGTTGCTCCCAGCGCACGGTCAGTGTTGACGATATCGCACTCGATCCGGCACGGCAATCCCTTCTCTAATGCCAGTTCTGATTCTGCAATAAGCTTGTTGTCAAGTCTGACGTGGAGCTTGTGATCTTGCTTGCGAACATTGTATGTAGCTACACCAGGCCGCAATTGATGAGCAGGTGTCAGGATAAGGCCAAGGTCTAGGTTCTCCGTCTTGGGTGTTCGGAGATCTTCTCGCATCTTCAAGCACTCGACATGACCGACCATCTCGTTGACAGATCTGAAACCAAGCTTGGCCATGATAGCACGGAGTTCGTTCGATATGTAATAGAAGAAATTGATGACATGCTCAGGTGTACCCTTGAACTTCGCTCGAAGGGCTTTGTCTTGAGAAGCGATGCCGACAGGGCAGGTATTCAAATGGCATTTTCGCATCATGATACAACCCATGGCGATGAGTGGCGCCGTGGCAAAACCAAACTCTTCTGCACCAAGTAAGCAAGCGATAGCCACATCACGACCTGTCCTTAGCTGCCCATCAGTCTGGACGATGATGCGACCTCTGAGATCATTCAGTACTAGAGTTTGATGTGTCTCAGCAAGTCCAAGCTCCCATGGCAGCCCAGCATACTTGATACCAGTCCATCGTGAAGCACCTGTCCCGCCATCGTGACCTGAGATGAGAAGATGATCAGCCTTCGCCTTTGCCACACCAGACGATACTATGCCGACACCAGTTTCGGAGACAAGCTTGACGGAGATTCTTGCGCGAGGATTCGAGCACTTCAAATCGTAGATCAATTGTTTCAGATCCTCAATAGAGTAGATGTCGTGATGGGGTGGCGGCGAGATCAAGCCAACACCAGCCGTAGAATGTCTCGTCCTGGCGATGGGGCCAGAGACTTTATGACCCGGCAATTCACCACCTTCTCCAGGCTTAGCTCCTTGTGCCATCTTGATCTGCAGCTCGTCTGAGTCGGCGAGGTAGTTGGAAGTGACACCGAAGCGACCAGACGCTACTTGCTTGATGGCTGATCTCATGGTATCGCCATTCTCAAGAACCTGACTGCGCTCTGGGTCTTCGCCTCCTTCACCTGTGTTCGATTTGCCGCCAAGCCTGTTCATGGCCACTGCAAGTGTGGAGTGAGATTCCATAGAGATTGATCCGTAGGACATGGCACCAGTAGCGAATCGCCGGACGATCTCCGTCCAAGGCTCGACTTGGTCGATCGGCACCGGCGGTTTCTGCTCGAAATCAAAGTCGAGCATGCCTCGTAGAGTACAATTTTTGATCTGCTCATACTCGGATACAGAGTAAGCTTCGTACGACTTGTCATTCTTACTGCGAACGGCGTCTTGAATGTTGGCGATGGCGACTGGATCGTTCACATGAGGCTCGCCGCCGTCTCTCCAATGGTATTCTCCAGATTCTGCTAGACCTGGAATATTGGAGATCTCGCGGCTTGGGAATCCTTTCTCGTGGAAAGCAAAAGCATCTTGAGCGATGAGCTCGAATGTCATGCCACTGACACGGGTTGCTGTACCAGTAAAGCAACGGTCGACAACGCTGCTGTCGATACCGAGTGCTTCATAGATTTGAGCGCCTTTATAGCTCTGAAGTGTAGAGATCCCCATCTTGCTCATGACTTTCAGAATACCCCCATCGCATGAGTGTTTATAATTCTCGATGAGCTGGTCATCCGTGATGTCCTTTCTAATGAGACCCTCGCGATTCAGCTTGAGGATACATTCCAAGGCCAAGTACGGGCAGATACCATCGGCACCGTAGCCAACGAGCACACACATGTGGTGAACTTCTCGGGCTTCTGCGGTTTCGACCAGGATAGCAGCTTGTGATCGCCACTTGTTGCGAACCATGTGATGGTGTACCATGCCCGTCGCGAGCAAGGCGGAGACTGGAACACGGTCTACGTTCGTCTTTCGGTCGGACAAGACGAGTATCTTGTCACCATTCTCGATGCCTTCCGTAACCTCCTCGCTGATTCGATCCATTGCATCCAAATAGCCCTGAATTCCTTGACTCTTTGGGAATGTAATGTCGATAATCTTCACTGTCCACTCCCTGTGCAAGGTCGATATCTTCATCAAAGCGTTAAAGTTTTCGATCGATAGGACAGGTGATGGAAGCATCAGTCGATGGCATTGTGAAGGATTCATCTCAAGTAAGTTGCCCTGAGGGCCAACATAACATTCCAATGACATGACGATAGCTTCTCGAATAGGATCGATGGGAGGGTTGGTGACTTGGGCAAAGAGTTGGCGGAAATACTCATACAAGAGACGAGGTTGCTGCGCAAGACAGGCAAGTGGTGCATCATTACCCATTGAGCCTAAAGCTTCCTTGGAATCGGCAGCCATAGGACCCAAGAGCAGGCTAACTTGTTCGAAGGAATACCCAAATGCTTTCAGCATGGTATCTTCTTGAACTCGGGTATCATTCAATTTCAGAGTTAGGTCATGTCCTTGCTCTTCGAGTGAGCTACGAACACTTGGAAGTTCAATGAGCTCCTTCTGCAGCCATGATCTAAAGTCTTGCCTGCTAGCGACATTGTGCTTTAGTTCTGCATCGTCAATGATTCTTCCTGCCACTGTATCAACCAACAACATCTTTCCTGGCTGTAGTCTTCCTTTCTGCACAACCCTATCTGGCTGTATTGCGATTGTACCAACTTCTGACGCACATACGATACGGTCGTCGTCTGTCACGTAGTATCTGCATGGACGTAGGCCGTTTCGATCAAGATTCGCACCGCAGTATCTTCCATCGGCGAATGTGAACAAGGCAGGGCCGTCCCATGGTTCCATCAAACATGCCGCCCATTCGTAGAATGCCGTCTTCTCTGGGTCCATCGCTGCGTTATCTTGCCAAGCTTCCGGGATCATGAGCATGACTGCTTCAGGGAGGGAGAGGACACCATTGATGGTGAGGAGTTCGAGAACGTTGTCAAATGCTGCTGAGTCGGATCCGCCGTCTTCGACAATTGGATAGAGGGAGTCTAGATCTTCGCCGAAGAAAGCAGACTTCATGACGCCTTCTCTTGCTCGCATCCAGTTCTTGTTGCCTCGCAAAGTATTGATCTCGCCTGACCCTGTTAACTGGGGATTGGGGTAATGTATGAGAAGACTAACCATTGTGTGCCGCCCACCTCAACGGCTGCGCTCGATCCCAGCTAGGGAATGTATTTGTCGAGAAACGTGAATGCACCAGGGCAAAATGTCCCTCGTAGTCTACCGAGACCAAGTCATGGTAGTATTGGTAAACCTGCACCGGGGAAAGCTGTCCCTTGTACACGATGTTCTTGTTGCTCAGAGAGCACAGATAGAACCAATTGTGCAACCCAATCGTGTGCGTCGCTCTCTTTCTCAACACGAAAAGCTGTCTCTCGAAATGTATGTCTGGAAATTGGTCAGGGTCGGTGAGCTCTGGGCTCTTTCCGTCACCGTAGGCGCTTCTGAGGACCACAAACGGCTGCAGTATCAATGGCTCTCTGCTGAGCGCCGCTGGTCCGAGCAAGCTTGTGTCTCTTGGCACCTCCCGCCATCCCAATACTCTTAAGCCAAGATTCTCCGCAATGTCTTCGAATTTGTCTGTAGACTCTTTCAAAATCTCGGTGTCTGGCTTGAAAAACAGGTTTCCAGCTGCATATTGGCCTTGAGGGGGAGGTCGAAGCCAGTCTCGCGGGCAAAGTTCTTGATGAAGAATCTATGAGGGATGGAGGTCATGACACCTGCTCCGTCACCGTCGCGAGCATCGGAGCCCACGGCTCCTCGGTGGGTCATGTTACATAGTAGGTTTTTTGCTAGGCATGGAATCAATTGAAGTTCTCTTCAGGGGACGTAGGGTGGCGCACCATCGCTGATGATCTTGTGGCTCGCCTTGCCCTTGATGTGGCTGCCAGAGGTTAGTCGACGTGTAGGAGGGTATGTGTCGAGACTCACGCTGCGAAGCCCACACCGCAGGCATCTTTCTCGTACTCAGGGTCGTAGAGCCCCTGCTTGACAGGCAGAGCCCCGGCCCATGACCGGTTCTCTGGAGTTTCGTTGTATTCGTATGCGGTGTAGGGTGTTTCTTCTTCCTCAATCTGGGGTCCGTAGGTTTGCTCCAGGATACTGCCCATTCTAGGGGCGGATCGTGGACTCGGTTGCGCTTGATTGTTTGATAGGATTGCCTGAATTGATTGAGATTGTACGTATGTATTGAGCAGGACGATACTGGCGCCCTTGTTCGCAGTTGCTGACACTGATCACTTCAGAAGTTGCCAATGTTTGAGGTGATGTGTAGTGGGTGAAGGCGAAAAGAATTCTAAGAGCGGATCGACTGAAGCGAGGGGACAAATTGTTACTATAGGCACGCTTTAATTGGTCCAATTCAAAATAAAAAGTAAACTCCGGCAGGCCGCGGTCTGCCAGCACCTGCTCCGATAAGGCCAGCAGCAACGAATCATACACTCTTGGAGGGGTCTTTACGATATCCGAACAGTACATGAAGCCTTAATTTACAGCGTCTAAGCTAGAGCCCGCAGCAGTATGTGGGGCTTGCGGGGTGCATGATGTCTTTTCCTTTTACGGTCATTCTACTGATCGCGATATCGACCTCTTTCTTCGCCTAGGACGGGTCATACTGCCAATTTCGAGGGCCAGGACAGCTGTCCTCATCCTTCCTTAGGAGTTTCGTGTCTCACCGTTGGACATGTAGTTCTATTATGCAGCGCTTCTTAAGCTTTCTTCCTCCCTAGTGCATTTTCATGGCCCAGCAACCGTTTTAGGTGGTGCGCCTACCCAACTCTTGTTGCAAGAAGTGGTCGCATATTGGGCGCTTTCGGGCTTCTCTTCGATCTCCTCCGAGTAACATCGCCGATTCCGCCTTATTAATGTTGTTTGCACTCTATCACGGTGGGAAAGGCCGTTGAGGTTGTTGTGGGCCTGTGGCCGCGACTTGAAGGGACGAGGCAGAGCGTGGATGTCTCCGGTCAGGTAATACTAATAATTCACACTCGCTGCGTGGTGTGGGGGAGGGGCGCATCGAGGCCCGATTTCGGCCGGCACGCTTTGGCCCTGCGCGGCTCCCTGACGGAGACGCTAACAGGTGCGTCATGCGGGACTCTTTACCTAGATCTGCTTCATTGCTCTATGTCGCTAACATCATTCTGCATGATCAACTTCTTGGCTTCTGCGTTTTAGAAGTGATTCAAAGGCGACGTCATGCAATGTCCTCTCCCGAAAGACTTCGACGAAGGACATAGAAGCCTTAACAAGGTTGCTTGCCGAAGCCCTAGGCTAATGCACTTTCCAGTTACCTACTTCAACAGCCAAGGCTTCTAGACGTTGGATTCCATACTTGCACAACAGAACTTCAAATTGTTACGCGTCGAGGAGCTACCAGATAATTCTCATGATCTCTCCATTCAAAAGAAAGGAACGTGAACTTAGAGATCCGTCAACATGAGGCCAGCACCCATACCCTCCTAGAGTTGACTCCGTCGGCAAGAGGATGAGGGGACTCTTCCGGGAGATTTCAATGAATTGGAGAAGATTGACAAGGGGCAAAGACTGGTGGTCTTTGATAAGCTTGCGTAATGTGTTGCATCTGTCTAAGCAAGGCGTTGGTGGTGTACCGAATAATATGCTGTAAAGAGTAGATGACATATAGATTACCCTACACTCTTGTCGCAACAGCTAAACCGCCTGGGGATGATCTCAACGCTCTGAGCGCCGGTCTTTGTCGGGACCTTGTGAGCGCTACGAGGGCAGACCAGAACTGTCAAACGTCTGCGATGGATGTGAAAAGTCTTACGCATTTACGAAAAGCGTTTGGACCTGTGAAATCTGCGATGGCATCGAGTTTCACGACGCACGTTTGGCGGATCTCAAGAATGGAACTATTGGGCCGTTGGTGTGTAACGAGGAGCATGAACGGCTCCTTCTCCCGTCATAGCATGACGAATGGAAGGACACAGGCTCCGGAAAGGTGCGTGTTGGAGGTGAGTACCGGGATGGCAAGCGCATAGGGGGAGAATCATGGAAGTGAGTCAGAAGTTTGATACGATCAAAGAAGATTGGGGGATTGAAAGGTCCAGCGCCAATCGAAGAGTCGGAAGAAGACTCTGATTAAGAACGGCGTTGCCGGACTGAATCTTGCTGGCGAGGCAAGGTAAGAAGATATAGGTGAAAGGTTATGGGGAAGATCATTGACCTTGTACCTTATAGAGATTGGGAAATATTGATGAGGTATACAATATCATGGAATTCCCAAGGGTCGATGAGTCTACTGCCAACCCTAAATGGCTGGAAGCCAGGGTAGAAAGTGCCCTGATTTCTTCCTTTATAAATAGGTTTAGCGTCAGGGCTCAGCGGGCCTCCTTAAACGAAGAATCATCTCCAAGGCCATTTACTTTTGGCGCCTGAAGATGTCGCGCGTTCAGGAGCTCCCTGATGATTTTGACGAAACCCTGAACTTGGCGCAAGGAGACAAGGAGGCAGCACACCGTCCAAATGAGGGTAGCAACAACACCGCCCACGAGGGGCAGCTCCCCGCCCTTCCACGGGAAGACGACTCCATGCGTTCGCATACTGCGGACGATGTCATCAAGACGATGAAGAGATCACCTCTCTTCATGACATCTCTCGACGACGCAGGCGAAGATGGTATGCTTTCCCCAATCACATCACTCCAAGAGCGTTGTTAATCTGAGTACGCAGGTTAGGCGAAGAAAACCTTGAGCTCGAAGCCATCCGCGCCCTGCAATACGAGGGCACCCCAGCAGAAAACGCCCTCAGCTTCAAAGAGCAAGGCAACGAGATGGTGAAAGAGAAGCGATGGACCGACGCCAAAGAATTCTACACAAAGGCAATCGCCGTGCTCTCCAAGAGAATCGGGTCGCATGAGGGAGAAAGCGGCGCAAACCCCGAACGAGATCACATGCAAGAGAAAGACTTGGACGAAGCATGCCACGTGAATCGAGCTCTCTGCAACCTTGAACTCAAGAATTACCGCTCCACGACCATCGACTGCGCCTCCGCCCTCCGTCTGAATATCAATAACGTTAAGGCGTACTACCGCTCCGCTTCTGCTCTCCTCGCGCTCGACAAAATCGAAGAAGCAGCCGACGCCTGTCAGCGCGGCAGAGCCATCGACGCCTCGAACAAGCCTCTGACACAACTTTCAGATAAGATCACAGAACGGGCTTCGTTCCTAGCAGCGCAAAAGGCCAAGAGGGAGCAGGAAGTCCAAGACGCGCAGAAGAAGGCGCTCATGCTGAATACAGCACTCAAAGCGCGCAATATACGCGTGGAAACGACATCCCAAGCCCCGAATTTAGAAGACGCAACGATCCATCTCGCGCCAGACCCTCTCTCGCCGACGAGCGCCCTCCACTTCCCCGTCCTCCTGCTCTATCCTATCCACTCGCAATCGGACTTTATCAAGGCGTTCGCGGAGACGGAGACGGTGGCGCAGCATCTACAGTATATCCTCCCCCTGCCGTGGGATAAGGAAGGTGAATATACAGTGGGCGGGGTGGAGGTGTATGTGGAGACTGCAAAGGGGGGTTGAGTAAAGTTGGGAAGAAAACAGCACTGCTTAATATCCTCACGAAAGCAGACGTGGAGATTGTGGATGAGCTGGTGAAGATAAACATCGTGCCGGGCAAGCAGGTGGAGGGTTGGATTGAGAGCTTGAAGGCACGGAAGGGTAAATGAGATATGAAATCATCTGCTCGTCATTGAGTTTTCTATGATAACCCAACATACACCTGATTCATATCCCTGGCATTCAGTGCTCGATTCAACACCAAAGGCTTGAGCACTGTGGTGACTGCGACACGGAGAGCACCCCCAGAACCACCCCACTCCAAACCCAACGATCTCAAAATTCCACCATGTCCTCCCCCTACCTCTCGGCCTCACTCCACCGCCGCAACACTCACATTTCCCCCCGTCCCCGCCCCCGCCCCCAGCTCTTTCCCCTCAACCAACTCCTCCCCCTCCCCCTCCCCCGCCCCCTCTCCACCAACACCATTATACATATGCCCCCACCAAACCAACGCAGTCGCCATCCTCCCGGCGCCCTCATTCCCCTCAACCCCGATCCGTCCAATCACAACCTCCAGAGTCCTATACTCCGCCCCCTCCCCCTCCCCCTCCCCTTCCCCCGCGCCCTCTCGCACAAACCTCCACATCTCCGCCCCCACCACCTCAGCCGCCGCTCTCGCATCCCCCCACGTCGGCCTCTCCCCTGTACCAGGCGGGGTGGTGGGAAGCACCATCCGCCACTGCCACGCCCGCTCTCCCACGTTGAAATACCAGTTCACGCCAATACGCGCCGAGGCGGAGGTGAGGGCGATTTGGCTGTCGAGGGCGGCGAGGAGGGAGGTTATGAAGGCGGGGAAGCCTAAGGTTGGGTTCCAAACGGGTAGGTGTGGGGAGGTGGAGCCGGTGAGGAGGAGGTGCGTTGATGTGGTGGGGTTGTTGGTGCGGTAGGTTGTTGCTGTGTCGATGTTGTTGGGGTTAGCGGAAGGGGTGGAGGGGGTGGAGGGGACGGGAGCGGGCAGGGGTGAGGGTGGGGAGGCTGGTGAGGGGATGCTGAGGGCGAGGGGGAGGAGAGAGAGGAGGGTGAAGAGGGAGGGTTTCATGGTTTAGGATGATTGAGGAGAGAGAGGGGTCGGTGTGGAGAAATGGTTGTTTATGAGCTGGGGAGGAATAGTGGGAGGTAAAGGTCTTGTTTGAGGTTATTAAGCCACATACTCGGTGTGTGGATTGGGAGGCTAATTTTGAAGTATTTGCAGCTTGAATAGGCGTGAAGCGATAATTTCATCGACTCGGCGTATTTGCGCAAGACATGGGGTGTCTAAGGCGCGTCTGCTACCAAATATAAAATGAAACACAAGTCGTTCCGGGCTATCTTGAGATGATTGGGAATCACTCGCAATCAATATGACCTCTTCTCGTGAGAATGTATTTTTTGATCGTTGAATATACTCAATTGGGTTTTTAATAATTTGGATGTAAAGAGAGAACTTCTTAAATTGTGGCATAGTAAAAAGCTGCCTTCTCTTCCACGCTTTCAATTGCGAGATATGACCCCATAATTTGTACTAATTAATTTATAATATTCTTGAGAAATATTTTCGCTAAGAGAAACCTCCTTCAGCAATGGCATATTGGACAGCTGCCTTATCTCTTTTCATTCAATTTATGACAAGTTAAGTCATAAGAGTAGCCTTTATTGAACCGACTTACCGAATCTTGCATTTAGCTGAGAACAGTTTCTCAAGGCGTGTAATTGAAAAGAGGAACCCTCTTACGGGACTGCGTTGTAGAATTGTATGTTCTCCCGTTCATCAGAAATATAAAAACTGGTCATGAGATTGTTCCACCCTTGAAACGACTTCTCTTTGTCTTCTGTGCTTTTTGCATCCGTCTCCCAAATCTGTCTTCGTGAAGAGAAACTCTTTCGTAGGGTGGCGTAGAGGAATAGGTTGTGCTGAACTTACTTTTCGCCACTTGGATTCGATCGCTTTGTACGACACTGTAAGCCGGTAGTATGAAGTTTCGGTATATAGTAGCCTCTCACTTAATACGCTTTGACGCTATGGTCTTTTGATGTTGTTCTAAGTCCCTATGCGCCACTTTTGAAGTCTCCTTACGGACTCGCTTTCCGTACACTCTCCGGCATCACAATCTGTTTGTACTTTCTACCTCCACCCTTGCGCTTAACGATCGCGATACGTCGTGTGGGCAAGCCCCGCCGCTCAGCGAAAAGATCGTCAGCAGATTTGGCGTCATCGCCTAGTGCTGGGCTCTCGAAACTTTCTGCCACAATTGCTTGAGTGCACAGTCGTGCTTGTGCGTCATTGACCCCCTCGCCATAACGGACTGCTATTACTGCTGATATCATGAGAATTGTAGCGATCGTCGCGTAGATTGTGTCCAGGACAATGAGAGCTATGAAAGGTGCTCGTGGTATACGAGTTACCTGGATGGTTTTTCTTTGGAAGCTTTCAGTTGGAGATCTTGATTCAAGTATGCCAACCGTACGTGAGAGTAAAGCGTGATCATAAGTTTTTGCCACTGAAGCAGCAATGTCTTCCGCCTTTTCCGCTGTGGCGATGGCCGCCGAAAGGGATTCTATGAATCGGCTTAATATTGGGTAATCGTATCTTCTACTTGTCAAGTTGTTCTCTGCTTCGGGAACTGGAGCCATGGACGCCCAAAATGGTATTGCGGCAGTGGCGTTGAGCTCTAGCCAAATGTCATTTTTAATCATGCCATCTTCCATGATGTACTCCTATGATAGTCAGAGGGTGTCTCGTGAGCCCAGAACGGGATGATGGATGATGGATGACATACTACACTCGACAACGCTGTCGAACAAGAGACCGCACATGACACCGTACTGACGTCGTTAGATGGTACCAAACCTTGGGTCACAGGCATTGTCAGATTCCTCGTCCTTGGTGTATTCCATGCTTTAGAATCTGTGGACCGCTCATCCCTGACCGATGTCTCTAGCATCGCGAGTACTGTCCTGTTTGTCACTAACTCACCATCTGCACCGAAGACCATTGTCCACCACAGGTGGGGACCGTTTTGTTCGACGCCTATTGCTGGGATCAAAGCCTCCCTAGAAGGCCTACGATAGAACTGCTGCATGTACGTCTGTCCTGTCTGACGAACTATCTCTGTAAAGTTTCCGGCAAACCCCAAACCTACCCCATCATTCGCGCAATCGAACATTATGTGAGGGGAGGAAAATACATGTTGATCGTGGACATAGTCTGACGCCATGTGAAAGTTGCATAGGTGAGTGATGACTTGGCAAGTGGTGAAAGATCCGAAGCTGACGGCTCCAAAGTCTAGTCCAGGCGGCGGATAAGCCGGTAAAATAATTGATCCTCGGAGTGTATCATGAATGTTGTTTGTCACGGATGTGCCAGTCCAGAGTTTGGCGGCTTCTGTTGCGTTCGCGTACCTTGTCCTATTCCCATTATTGGTTGTCTCTATGTAACACTGGAACTGTGACTCATTCAAAGCCTGGAATCCTTTATCAAGTGATAATTGCTGGCAAGCCGGTGTCAATCCCCGTCCTGGTTGAAAACTTGGAATAATCGCAGAAGCTCTAGAGGTGTATTGGACGGTCAACATTGTCTATGTAGTGTCACTGAGATTAATCTATGTATAAATGTGAGACGTCATACAAAATTGAGCCAAATGTCCACAGCAGAAATGGAAATTCTTCAGCTGTTAGTATTGACCGCAAATTCAAGACATGGGAAGACTTACATGATCACAACAACTGTCATCAACAATACCATAGATCTTCGAAGAGCGGGGACTATGGCGATCCTTTTTTGATTTGAACTTGACACGTATTGCGCAAAAGACCACAAAGCAATGACACTGCCGTTTAGAACCCGGAAGAGTAACTCCAGCTGATATGGCGACGCTAAATTTGCTACATTGTTGACGTCTGAATTCCGACTATAGGTCAAAGCTGTAGAGTACGACATTAGAAACATCACGGCCGGAAGCATCAAAGTAGCTAGCGTTGTAGAAAAGGATGCCATAAACATCAACTGAGTTGCGGGTATTCTTGAGTAAAGAGCGGTCCCCAGCGAGATATTCCTTGTATTATCTGTCGAGTACCATGCGCTTCGTGTTTTGGGTGGCCCGCTACTCTTTACCTCGACCATGAAAGCTAGCGCAACTATCAAGATTGGGAACGTCGCGAGAATCCATGCTGTCGCAATGTGGAGATATCCATACTTCATCTTTTCTACCCACGGGACACAGGATTGTTCCAGGCTCTGAGCCGGAGGTCTTGTGGGCTGCCTGGGTGTTAGAATTCCATTTGGAGAGTTCCTCGTCTGCTGCCAAGTCTCCGTGTCCAGTGGCCTTCTCAAGCCGGTCCTTCGTTCTTTTTGTTCCTGTGCCATGAGTATATGGTAGATATGAGCTTACGGTTCTGATGTTAATGATAAAAAAATGCGACAACAGCAACAGAGGCAACCTGGAATAAGGAACGAAAAGGAGATCGAAGTCATGAGTATCTGGCACGGCCATGATCCCAGCCTTTGAATACCTGCCTGATAATATGTATTCATGAGGCAGTGCCATATGCATCCATTACCAAGAGGTCCACACATTCTGCAGCATTGTGCATACAGGTTGAGGCACGGGCGACGATGGGAAATGACCGCGCGTAGCAGGCACAGAACATAACCACTTTGCTGCAGGAAACCGTGCAAGCTTGCTGTTCTCCTGAAGACACATGACAGCGTCCGAAGACGAGAGTGCAGGAAGCATTGAATGAAAGGACGCAAAGAAATTGGGCTTCTGAATGATATCCACGGATTTTCCCTGTGCGCTAAGCCAAGATGAGATTAGCACCGGAATTTACTTATTCCGCTCTACGGCTGCTCTCATTGGTTGCTTCACTTTTCTTGCTTATGTTGCCTATTCTGCAATGTTGTATCTCAAGATTTCTATCCTATGTCTTGAGCATTTAGACGTCTTGGTAATGCCGTTACTAGATAGCATCCACGGGGATCTATCCTTGATGCCTCAGTCCCGGCACGTGCTTCAATTATCGAAGATAACAGGTTCCATTACGTTTGATTTGGGCTGCGGCGATTCTTTTCGTTTATCTAGGTCTTGACAAATGGATTGACGTATCCGTGAAGCTCACAAGATGTCTGCGGGGCCCGGCGGATCCGCTCTGGTGCCTGCGGGCTCCCTTTCGACAATTGGACCTAGCTTTCAACAGCAAGGAACGCTTGATTGGGTATCCCTTGGGCAGACGCAATTTTCTGCCTCTATTGCCATTCTCGGGCGCCTATCTGCTGCTGGTATTGAACCTTTGACTGTCGGGGTTGGTCAAGCGGTATGCTCTAGAGTTCCATTGGGCATACATGGCGAGAAGACGCTGAGCGAGGCAATGTCTTCTTTGAAGGCAGTTTCAAGCTTTGGAGAACTGATTTGGTTCGGCGTGGGAATAAGTCATATTTTGAGAACTCTCGTCCAGACCTCGCAAGGCGCTTCTCTGGTGGCACTCTGCGCCGCTTTGAGCGAAGGCTACGATATACCTGCTTCTGCTGCCGTCCTCTATGAGATGGCTAAAAGGCTAGGAGCACCGAGGGACTTAAGTCCCTCCTTCGATCAATGGAAAGCTGTGGTAAAAGTCTCTTCATGTGTTCTTTGCCACACGAAATTCGGTATCTGCTGTGATCAAATGTCAAGGCTTTCTGGGTATAGCTTAGATGAAATCAACTCAAGCAGTAGGGGCCACCCACAAGATTTGGCCGAGATCATCATACGGATGGGTGACGTCGCTTCCAACAAGGCTCTTGCCATATCCATAGTCGGTGGTGTCAGCTGCAGCTGGGTCGCCGTTTTTGCAGACTTCGTACTTGGACTGCGGGTTACTGTGAAAGATATTCATGGACGAAGGGTGTACAGAAATTTTGACAAAACTTTCGCTAGTGCACAGATCGAAGTTGAGTTCAAAAGAGATATTCCCCAAGATAGCGTCACATGCGCAGGTCATAGCTTTGTTCTCCGCGATGGAGAATCCTTCATCGACCGCTATGTTGCTTTTAAGGAAACGGTGGAAAACGGTCCACTATTTGGTAGTAGAGTCGAATGGCACAGTATGTTTCGAGACACCTTCGATGTGACGATAGAGAATCTTTTTATGCCGTTCCATGCTATACGTTCTGGAGGGCCAGCGTATCCTGGGAAAGAACAAACCCAAAAAGATTTTGTGAAATTCTTTACTGCTGGAGCTGCTCTCTACGTATACCACAGCTCCGAGAAATCACGATATTGCAGTGTTCACGACTTTGTTATAAGTGCCGTTGAGCACATCTCTGAGCTTATACCCTCAAAAATCGATTTATTGGAAGCTGCAAGATGTCATGACCAAGGCTCACAAAATGAATATGCGATTGTAAAAGTACTTGATGATGTACATGCTCGTCTTGAGTCAAGTTGTCATTGTGAAGAACACTCATTATGTACTCCTGACACCGGTCCGCGATACCATTATTGCCAATCTAAAATAGCGGCCACTGCTTTGGTCTTGAGCTATATACTTGGTCAATTGAGCCTCTTTGTATCTCTGACTCCAACCAGAATTGGTATAATTCAACTATACAAGCGAATGAAAAATTTTAGATGGACCAACCTTTCCTCGAGGTGGGACAGACTTTCAAATATGAACGAATCTTTTGGAAAGTTTTTAACTCTGTACTCCTGTATGTCACTTTTCTCTCGTCAACCATCATCAAATTCTATGTATGAGAACGTTGCAGCAATAAGTGATGGGAAAATCTACTGCTACATCGACACAATCTGGGAACTGTCTGATCGGCTGGAGACAGCCTCCGTTATTCACATTGGAGCCGGGTCTATTCAGGCCGGTCAACGTCTCTACGGCGAGGTTTACGATGGATCGGGTGCTTTACTAGAAGATTGTTGTACTTACGAGGTAGAACATATTCAAAATGTGGAAACCAGTCTTGACAAGGTCCAATCTCTACTGGGAGAAGACACCACTTCTTCGGACATAAAAGTGGAAGCGGTCGTAGAGGAGAACATTCGCCTTGAATTTTATTATCGACTGATCTCGAAACGAGGGACAACCCGAATTTATCCCAGATCGTTTGTCTCAGATTTTCTTGAGCCTGCTGTAGAGGGTTACGACTTAGGACCATGCAAGAGGTTCTACGAACCCAGGCTTTCTGAGACCAGCAATCAAACCCAGGATTACAACCCGAAGTCATGCTACAATACGTCAGTATTGTACGGTGAAGGCACCGTACCAAAGCGTCGAGACTCAGATCCACGTATTCAAATACGTCCTCACCACGGCAATACACTTGGCCGCTGTGCTGCTTTGGTAAACTCACATAAGCCTGTAATCTTGATAAACAGCAAAGAAGATCTCCTCAGATACATGATGGCACTTTGTGATGAGGGAAAGCGATATCGGCAGGACATGTTTTGGACGTTACTATGATTCAAAGCGGAATTTGTCGCTTCCTAGCATTCGCTAATTCGTAATGGTCCCGAGGTGCAAGACTGAGCGTTGAGACTAGTCCGCCGAAGTAAATGATTCTCAGGTGTGTTAGGTCACAAATATGCCAGGTGTGAGATCGACTTATCAGGACCCAGGTGTAAGATGAAATCTCTTCTGCACTGGAACTCACCAATCTTCTACAAGATGAGAGCCCCGCTTGGCAAGCATTCGTTTTCCTTTAGTGCTATCACCTGGAAATCACTCTACATTGGTGCGGTAACTGTTAAAGCTTGGATCCTAAAAACCATTTCCATAGTATAACTCATATCAGAGAAGACATCAACCGAACTATGGATGAGTCATCTACACTTACCATATGTTTGTGTAAAGAACCTCAAAAGACCCCTCTGCTTTACACATTTGCCACCATGTGCCCTACACTTAACAAGATCACTGACACCTAAAAGGTCTTTGGATGAGGCCCACGTGGCAAATGCCAATCATCATCGCCAATATTGGGTGTTTGACGATAACAATGAGTTACGCTAGCAGCACTCGAATTGATCAGGTACTTTGTGCCTCTGATTTTGAGAGACTTCTAGTTTTACATTTTTATTGTTTGCGATCTTGCTGTCTTCAGCATCTATCTAACGTACTTCCCCTAATCCTCCTGGCTGCTAGTTGCTGATTCGTGGATTGACGACCAAAAGCCCGAGAGCGTGCCAAACAACCGTCAAGCTTAATTCATAGGATCTGAGGAACTCTCGCTTGTCTGCCACTGACAGAGACAAATTTATCCCAAGCGTCACTAAAGTTCACATCGTGTGAGCGCACAATGTAGCGCCTTTGTGGCCAGACATACAACGACGAACACCACCGCCCCGGGCAATATGCAAGAGGTCATCATAAATATGACTTGTCCAAACTATGTAGGCCCACATAATCGCGGAAGTTGATCTATGAGTGCTTATTCTAAAATCACATGCTACTCCCAAGTTGGCATGGGCTCGCTGTTGTAGGAGCTGAGAAGATGTACGTACAACACCGTTTTGATAGGGCGTTCCCAAGCCCACATTGGGACTGAAAACACCTTCTAAACAGCAATTTCAAGCGAGACTTTCTTGAGCAGCAACTCGACCACTGTCTCAATCTCCGACGCTGGCATATCTTCCTTCTGGTAGAGGAGCTGAAGGCTAATTTCTGCTCTTTGTCGGTCGGAGAAAGCTTGTCGGAGCCTCAAGACATATCTACGAGGGCCGAAATAACAAGCCAGTCCCCGCTTCGCGGACTGAATTCATCAGACAAATAGCGTCGCTTGCTCCTCCGAACAGCGAACTCAACGGCGTCGCGAGTTGATACAAGATCGTTCTCACTGTCTGCTTGACACAAATCTGGTTGCCAGATGCGCACCCATGCAGGAGAGCGTGTGAGCGGCCTCGAGGTAACGGTTGGGGTCCCTCATCACTGTGGCCCTAGCAATTATTCAGATCCGTAGTGCTGATTGGCATCCTATCTCCCCACTTTTGGAGAGAATTGCGCAGAGGGCGGCGGTCAACGTAACGTTTTGTTACCTCGTCTTCAGTTGGGGCGGGACGGGGCGGGTCTCCGTGGATCACGATCGAATATCGCGAACGCATCGACGCCACTGCTTTTCTCATTGCTAGACATTTGGTTGTGATGGATGTTTGGTGAAATTGTAAAAATCTTGATGTTGAGAAGAGTGGGAATCAAGTCTAGCTTGGAAATGGTAATGGTAATGGTCACTTGTTTCTCCGTAAGATCAGACTGTACCAGCGTCGTGCAATTTTCGCGTTCCACGGTCATGATGCGGCCGCTCATCCAACTCACGAACTCGTTGGCGAGCGTTTGGTCAGGCTTCAGGCCTGCCCCTTACCTTTGTCTGCTCCCCATCCCAAGTCCTTGTCTGCCCGTCTGCTCTGAAATCTTATTGGGCTAGCTCTCATTTCCGGTCGAAGTCTGCGACATGGATATACTTCGTCAACTCCCCAATGCTTTCTTAGTGCGCTTTGATCTACCCCAAGAGCGACTCCGACGTGTCGGCGACGAGGGACGCTTCTCCAGGCACCTTCTGGAAATCCCCCTCAAGGCTGTACATTGCCATTTGCTTGCAGAGCCTCGTAAACAAGGACCTCGGTGGCTTCAGGTCATGGTAGTTGGCAGCTTCGTAAAGGAACGTCTCGACAGGCGGGTGTTTTGTGCTTTCATGGCAGGCGCGTTGCAAGCAGCCCTTCTAGTTGTGGATCCAATTTTAGATTCTTGAATGTAATTCTTTTATGTGTAAAATTCAAAGGCCATTCAGGAAAACAGTCTCCCCGCCGTCGAAAAGTATCCAACTCGCTTGATCGAGTGATTATTGATGATTGCTGGACGTGGTTGGAAACTACTGCAGGAGAGCGTCAACGATCTCGGTATGGCGCGCAACGTTACCTGCTCCGACGCTGGAGCCATCGTCTTCGGGGCTCATCGGTTGGTACATGCTGTATCTATCAAGAAACTTGGCACGCGAAGTTTCTAGGGTTAATTTCTGTGGGGAAAGCACCCTGTCCTTAGCAACGACGTTGTCCAGCAAGTCGCAGAACTATATAAGTTTCTCGGCCTTGCGGATTACCAACGGACAGGTACGAGAGTCGTGATTGCAAGGTGAGGAGAGTGGGGAAGAGCTCTTCTCCCAGTTTGATGTTGATGGCATATCGGTGAAGAAGTGAGAGAGATCTGTTATCAGCATCAGTAAGTGTGTCCATCATATTACGAGATGGTCGTTGAATAAATCCTGAAAACACTTTGCTTCTCCGGACTTAGTATTGTCAAAATACAATTTAAGAGTAGCGGGCTCCTGGTGAGGGTTTGCTTGTTTGGCTTCCTTTTTTACCTGCTAGGCTGCGTTTGGCGCTGTCGGTATACAGCATTATACCCCTAATTATAATGCCTAAAATTTTTAACTTAAGATTATTAGTTATCATAGTAATGACAAGCGAAGAAGTAAGAAGGCTGACTAATTGCTAGTCTTTAGGATATGAGTAGCAATGAGAAATAGCATCCTATCCGATAGCAGTTCTTGGATAGTAAGATAGTAAGGCAGGCTCTCGTCAGCTTAGGGGCTCATCAGCCTGTACATGCTGTATTCCCCAAAGACTTAGCGAACGTACTTTCCAGGCGCAAATGCTCTAGGGGAGCACCCTGTGCTTAGCGAGTAGTACAAAAAGGTTGTCTAGCAACTCGCAAAAGTCCATAAATTCCTCTGACTCACGGATCGCCAGTGAATAGGTAAGTAGTAATAGTGATGTATTTCAACCTAAGATTCTCGGTTATTATCGCAGTAACGAGGATAGGAGTAAGAAGGCTTGCTAATTATTAGTCCTCGGGGCGTGAGTGGCAAGGAGAACCAGCATCCCGTCCGAAAGTATTCGTTGGATGGTAAGAATTTTAGCTATTCTTACTCTCTGGTATTCTTAAAGCTTTAAGCTTAGTTCTTTGTCTGATGATCAGGCAGGCTCTTCAAAGCTTTTCATAGTGTTTAAAGTGCGTCTCTTGCTCCAGCGTCTCACTATCTGGTGCATTCGTGGAATCTTCATATATGTGAGCGGCCACAAATACGTAAATTACATTGGAATGTTTCTGGGGTTAGATGCCGATAAGCCGCTCGTTCACACGGGCCGGTATCTAGCCACTTACTTTATCGGCTCCTAGAGTAGGTTATCACGCCTCTTCGCTGTCGGCTGCCCAGAAGAATCTTTGAAGCTTGAAGAGCCTGATCCTGTAGGCGATATCGAGTGGAGTCGAAACTTGTGGACCAGACCACCGAGGATTTCAGGGTCGATTCCTTGGACTGTGTTGCTTAGTGGACTTGTCTCTGCCTCCTTGCGACGCATCCAATCTTCAGCGAAAATGGATTTATGGAGCTGGTTTTTGTGCAACCTAGTTTGTTGAACAGCAGGCATACTTGCTTGACGGATGTATACACAAGAATGTTGGTGGAAAGATCAAGAAGTAAAGTTGGTGTGACGCGTCAGGATGTAAGAACGGGAATTTGCGGTGTGGTTAAATTAACATCGTTTTCGCTCCATTTTGAGTACAAATGGCCACGTCTTCCATACGCTGGCGGTATATCAGGGCCTCCACACGGTCACGGAATTCTTCCACAAACTATACTCATCAGCGCTGGCCGTACGCTGGCGCCAGATACTCACAGGGAGGCAGCAGCCCTGATCCCGGCGTCCAGCATTGTATCTCCCACACACGCCAATGCCACGCTTGCAGCTGGCGCCGTTCCCATTGAGGCACGCGGTGCAGCAGAGATTGGTGCAGTCTGTCTCTGTCAAACTTGCGCTGGCGCTGAGCTCGCGGTCACTTACTGTGGTATGGGCGGACGGGCCCTGAAGCTTTGAGCACATGTCCCTACTGAAACAGTCGTGCCCAGATCATTGTCAATCAATCTGCAGTCAGTGACTGGTTCCATTTCGCTTCAACTATCGCAATACTTCCAGTATCCAGATTGGTTTCGCACCAAAGGACGTAAGTCTTCAGCTGCTTTCATCTTTCTCACGACTTGGCGTGGATGTAAAGCTGTCTTTGTCTTTTCAGCCTCTGCCTAATGAGACGGCTCGTAATTCGCCATGGGAATTGGCGAAAGTATCAACGGTCGACGAGAGAAAATATTCCGCTTGCGTTCATGAAGTTTAAGCGAGCATTGCGACATAGAATCAGCTGTTCCTCGTATGTTGACCATTTGATGCCGAGGAGGATCGATGGGAGGATGTCAGAATCCCTTTTCTTGTAGAGATTTGCTTAACCTACACGACGACCGTCAACGATTCTGGTCTCGTTTGGTGGAAATGCTGGGTCGTGCATGATATCCCGCATTTCTCGAGGCAGATGCAAGAAAAGAGGAGGTTGTGCTGCGCGGCCGCAGTATGAAAGAAAAGATCTTACTCACAGCTATGGCTGTTATCGAAAAATATGAAGGAACTCTTGCTCTTTAT